CGAGATCGAGATCAAGCCGCTGCGCAAGACCGAGAAGAGCAAGTCCTACTACCTGTGCACGTCGGTGTCGGCGCCCGCCGCCGCCGCGCTCGCGCCCGGCACGGCCGGCGGGCTGGCGGGCGCCGAGGGGCCCGCGGGGCCCCCGCCCTGGGGCGAGACCACCTGGATCTACCACGACGGCGAGGACACCAAGATGATCGTGGGCGAGGAGAAGAAGTTCCTGCTGCCCTTCTGGCTGCAGGTCATCTTCATCTCGCTGCTGCTCTGCCTTTCGGGCATGTTCAGCGGCCTCAACCTGGGCCTCATGGCCCTGGACCCCATGGAGCTGCGCATCGTGCAGAACTGCGGCACGGACAAGGAGAAGAACTACGCCAAGCGCATCGAGCCCGTGCGCCGCCAGGGCAACTACTTGCTCTGCTCCCTCTTGCTGGGCAACGTCCTGGTCAACACCACGCTCACCATCCTGCTGGACGACATCGCCGGCTCCGGGCTGGTGGCCGTGGTGGTCTCCACCATCGGTATCGTCATCTTCGGCGAGATCGTGCCGCAGGCCATTTGCTCTCGGCACGGCCTGGCCGTGGGCGCCAACACCATCTTTCTCACTAAGTTTTTCATGATGATGACCTTTCCGGCCTCCTACCCAGTCAGCAAGCTGYTGGACTGCGTCCTGGGCCAGGAGATCGGCACGGTCTACAACCGTGAGAAGTTGCTGGAGATGCTGCGGGTCACCGACCCCTATAATGACCTAGTCAAAGAGGAGCTCAACATCATCCAGGGAGCCCTGGAGCTGCGCACCAAGACGGTGGAGGATGTGATGACTCCACTCCGAGACTGTTTCATGATCGCTGCTGAGGCTGTGCTTGACTTCAACACTATGTCCGAGATCATGGAGAGCGGCTACACCCGCATCCCGGTGTTTGAGGGCGACCGCTCCAACATTGTGGACCTGCTCTTCGTTAAGGACCTGGCTTTCGTGGACCCTGACGACTGCACCCCGCTCAAGACCATCACCCGCTTCTACAATCACCCGCTGCACTTTGTCTTCAAYGACACTAAGCTCGATGCCATGCTGGAGGAGTTCAAGAAAGGTGGGACCTGCCGGTGCCAGGGGCGTGGGGGGAGGTCTGGCTCGGGGAGCATCCCCCTTCCCGCCGTGTCCCCAGCACACGGGGGCTCTGCAGGTCCCTTCCTTGTCCCGGGAGGGCTCTGGGAAGGTTTGCTCAGGGTGGCCTGTGCTTAGGAGTGTGTCACATCTGCCAGCTCCGTGGCTGAGCTGCTGGTATGTGCCTGGTAGGTGCTGTGTGTGCCCCCTRCCTCTTTCCCCAAGGATTTTGGGGGTGTGTGTGTCTGGGAACGGTGCCCTCAGCCCCATCCGCCTGGGCAGTGGGAGCCGCTCCGCAAATCTGCCCCCGTTGCTTGGTGGGGAAGGGACTGCTCCTGTAGGTYGCTCCTATCTTTCAGGCTCAGTGCGCACACATGTGCGGAGATAAACAGGGCTCTTCAGCTCCATTCATAGGTCCACCCRGGTGACTTTCATTCCCGGCTCCAGCTATTTCAGTTGATACTCTGCTCTTGCAGCTTGTAAACAGTTGCAGGGTACTCTTTATGCATGAGTCTTAATGGATATTTGAGTGCGCTTGTTAGTGCTGAGCTTCAGGGTTCCAGACCTCCTTGCCTAGGCTCCCTCTGCCACAAGGGCAGAGCTGTGTAAGACCCGGTCCTTGATMCCTAGCGGGCACCTTAGCTGCCTCCAGGCAGGACTGAGGCTTTCCAGCCTCATCCTAATGGTAGGAGATACTGACAAGTGCATCGTAATTCCCATTATAAACCTTTGTATATGGGAGAGGAAAAAAATAATGTTTTTWTATATATATATATATATATACACACACACACAYAYATATATATATATATTTAATGTGTCTTTCCTTTCAAGCCAAGTAATTGTGCAGGCTCCATATTTTCCTGTGCAGGAAAGTACTCTCAAACAAACAACGAATTTCAGATATTTGTGTGCTGCCTTGCTAGAAAACTGGAGGTAATGTGTGTGCCGTGGAGCTGAGAACACCCAGGGAGTTCTGATCAAGGTAGTGCTGAGCAGCCYAGTCTCTGGAGACAACCTGACCTAAAGAAGGATCTTTACTGCGGCGTTGACACCGCTGTGAGGCTAATGGGGAATATTTAAGTTAACCTTTTATGAGCTGCAAAAGTTATCTCGAGTAGAACTTTGTAAATGGCACTTTATGGCCTTTCTAGGTAATAATCTCTACTATTTAAATTTCCATGTACTCTTTGATCCACGCACTGTGCCTGGACAACACGGCACTTGAGCTGTTTCTTGTTGAACACAACTTCTGTGGGTTAGGGGATTATCCCATTGGTTTTATTACCTCTATTTCATCTTCACAAATAAAAGCAAACGTGCTGTTCTAATCTGGTCAGTAAAAAGCAGAAGCAAATGTTTTGTTTACCTCTTTCTACCTCTGTAKAGAGATGGGGATTCCTCCTCGGGTTCGGAGCTGTTGAACAAGAGCTGAATCTGTGGTCTGGAGCTACAGGACCCACAGCTCAGACCTGATTATGTCACTCAGGTGTTGCCTGGTTAAGGTGAATTTTGCTGCGCGTGCAAGTATAGTGTTTTTCCCTAGCTCCCTCTTCCCCCAGCCCTTCAAGGGACCCAAGGACATGGCATTCCCRTGTGCTTTACCTCTAGGGAAATCTGGACTGTTTTGTTTCTAGCAATGTGCCTAAGGCATGAAAATCATGCTGGGTATTTTATTTTCTGCTGTCTGAAGGAGAGGAAAAAGGGTCCCATGTGTTAACAAAGGAGACAAAGGAGGCCTTTTATTTAATTGTGGGGAGAAATAGGTACTCATTTTAATCCCGCATGTGTGGCTCTGCCAAATACTGTTTCTTACTTTTTTTGAAAACTTGTGCCTAAAATAGGCTTCTTAAATTTTCCTAGGTTTTTTGGAAGGTACAAAGAAGAGATTGCTTTTCCGGGTAGCTGGAGGGCTTCCCTTGCCTGCACGAGGAAGCTTCCCATTAGTGTGATTCCAAGATAATTTCCTCATGTGTGTGTTCCCTCCTGAAATATTCTTTTTAATTTTTGTTTTTTTTAATAGCCTCTGTGGTAGTGAATTAGTGAACTAATTCAGGATAGCTCGAGCTGCAGAGCTGGCTCCAGAATAGCTGTGCTGGGTGGTTTGTATGGACAGGCCCTGGCCCTGATAGTAGAGCCAGCTTTGTCCTAACCAGTTTCTCTTTGCAGTCACAGATATGGTGGAAATAAATGCCTGCCTTTGTGGCTTCTGAAATGAATGTAAATAACTGATAGCCCACTCCATCTGGCAGCGCCCGGCGTCTTTTGCAAGAGTTCTTCAAACTCTCTTCTTCAGGGCGACCTTGCCTGATTCCCATGAAAATGCACAAATTAAGGGGGAGAGTTGAATTGTTTTTTACTATGGCATTGAAAATAAACACACTTGCTGTTTTTAATTAAAAGGAAAAAAATAAAATAATTCTAATTATTCCCTCATTACCACATCAGTCTTCCAGCAGTGCAGACCTGCTTGGCGAGCCCTGTGACATTCTTCCCCCTACCTGGGTCCCTACAATCGTGGTAAGGTGCAATGGGCAACTAGTGTTGCTGGCATTGAATAGTTGAATTCATTTAAAGGAAGAAAGGTCTGTTCTCTGAGAAGTTCAGCAGTTAGCTGGGCACAGGGGTTTGAAGCTCAGTTTTGGGACAGGAGCAAAATATTCTTAGCTCAAACTTTGAATTGAGACTTGGAAGGGGATGATTAAAAGACAAATGTTGTAGGATTAAGTACTTGGTCTGTGGTGGAAGATGAAGCTGCTAGTTCTGAACTTTTCCTGGTGCTAAGGCTGAAAGTTGGAGGATTTGTTTGTGAGCCCATGCATTAATGTTCTTTGCCCACAGTTACAAAATAAATATCKGTTTTATTTCTACGCTGCCAGGCAAGAAATTTAAAATTAGAGAGTGCTCTGCAGCATATTCCCTTCCCTTGTTGCTTAAACCTCTTAAAATATGAATAAACATGACTCCCRATGAGTCTGCAAAAAGGCTCATCTTATAAAAAGCATTGCTTATTTAAAAATAAATTAAAAAAAGCTTCTGCAAGTGGAACAATTTTCTGTCCTGTCAACAGACCATGAATCTCTACCAGTACCGTCAAATCTCTTTGCCTGCAAATTGTACAGGATAGGTTCTAGCTTTCTTGAATTCAGCCCATGTTTAATAATGCAGCGAGGTATAAGGTGCTCTTTATTTTAGTCTAAGAAACGACCTGCCTGACTTTGCTGAGCACAAAGGTAGATCTGCTCTGAAATAAGGCTGCTCCTGGCTAATCTGATGTTGGCTGTCGCTGTAAGGAGGAGTAAGGTGTTATCTCTCCCGGCATCTGAGCGTGTCCTGGCTCCTAAGCTGCCCCGGGGAGTGAATGAGTGACAAAGTCTTATTTTGGGAAAGAAGCCGGCATTCTGCTTCCTTTGTGGACAAGCATGCGGGCTTTTTTTTTTTTTTTTTTTTCCAATTACAGTTTTCCTAGGTCTTTGCTGCACTGCTCTGTGGCACTTCGCTCTTGGTGTTTTGCACTGCCTCATCTCCACATGTGTGATCTGCAATCCAAAATATTCTATTTCTAGCTCCCCGCATGCCAGAGCTACAAGAATTCAGCTTGAAAAGCATTGTGTTGTAATACCAATATTTTAAGATTGGCCCCCGTACTATGAGGCATTGTATGGCTGCTTTCCTGGTGGCTGGGACAGCTGAGGAATGCAGGAATTTCTCAATCGGAGTCCTCCTTATCTGTTGCCGTTGTAGATCTGGGGACTTTGAGTCATATGTTTTGATCTTATTTTTATCTGTCCCACTATTATGTTATACTAAAGATCAGTTGTAAACCTGTTACAAAAAAAAAGCATGTGGTAACTGTGTTTAGCAATTCTGAGATTTTTTTTCTCAGAATCGCATGGCAGTCTGGAGAAAATGACTGGATTCYGTACTAAAATCACCCTCAGTTGGACCTTAAAGACTTTTCTTCCCTGAAAACCTCATCAGTTTTCACATGCTGAACTTCTCTCTGTGCTCTGTTGTTATTGTGTTGTCTGTTTTTAATAGTGTGTGTCTATATTTGGTTTCGATATARGAGCTTTAGGGGAGGTTTCTCTTTCTTTCCAATTCTTCCTCTTCCTGCAATAAAAACCGAGGCCCAACAAAATTTAAACCCAAAAGTTTTATTTTTGAGGGGAGCAAAGAAAAATACCTAGATCTGGATACTCTTMTGAGTGCACAGAAAAAGTACAAGTGCTTCTTGGAAGCGAGTAGGATAGTGAGCGATTGGTAGCTTTGGGAATCCAAAGCTCTCCGTTATTGTTCTGGTTTAAATTTTCTTTCTGTCATTAGGTCCCACATCTCTCTTGCACTCAACCCCAAACCTSTAAGTGGTTTCTTTCCTGGTCCCTTGAAGGTTAGACCAGTTCCCATCCTGCTGAGTCTGCATCCAGACTTTCCATAAGTGACCTTTGAATACTCATTTATTTATTTATTTTTCTTTCCAGTACATCTAATAGATACTCGGTCTTTTAAGCTGTTTTTTTCTATTCAGGTTTGTGATTGCAGCAGTGTAAGGAACTGCAATAGTGAGGAATCCCCTTCTGCTTCAGGCTTTTTGGAGTGGTTCCCCCTCTATTCTTAACTTTGGAAAATGCTAAATGGGAGACTGAAATGCTCTTGCAATTTTGCTGTTGAGTCAGACAATATTAGGAAGTACTAAAATTGATGTCATCTGTACTATTATTTGATCTTCTACTGTGTAAGCATTATAATGCAGCTTCTAATTAGATTATCACGGACTGTCCTTTCAAGACCTCTGGGTAGCTGTGTGACATAAGAATGTCACAAACTCATTTCTTATCAGCTTCTTAGTGCTCTGCCAAAACAGATATTGGGACAAAAATCATCTATCTGTTAACCTAATATATTTGGTCATCTAGTTTTATTTAATGTAGGAAACCCATTCTGATGCTCACATATTGGGCCATTAGCATGTACAGCTGCAGCAGA